TACTGACCAATTTATTTGAATACCCTCACACTCACGCAATTGTTTAAAACTCAATAGAATTCTACAAAATAATCAGTTAACACAGAGACAATGGTCTTCTTTAGTATTCACTACGCACATGAGCAGCCAACAATCAAAATTATGAAGTTACTGTTTAAGGCAGGACATTACAGGCAAAAATATCGTTTTTTCATGTACTTGTACATTTTGATATTTTGGTCTATTTTGCTTCCATGTTTTCTTTCACTCTAATGGAAAGAAAACTTCCAAAAAACACATATAAATGGTGTTCGTTTTACTACCATGGCTGAATTCATCCATAGATTTAAAGCTAATCTGCATATTTAAACATAACATTTCAGGGGGAAATACTGACTGTAAGTAACTATCTGGGGAAGTTGTGAGGTGATATGTTTTTTGTTTTATCCTTTTCACCTGCAATGTGCCTTGGTAACTGCATGCAAATTAGCGCATTTGAATTAAGATAAGATAATAGATAAGATAGTACTTTATTAGTGTACTAGTTAACGCCTAATTTGCATATCAATGTGGATATTATGATGACGTTAATAGATACACATGTTACTGTATTCACCTTTAGTGTCTCCCCCAAGTAGCCTACACTACATTATGCTACCCATGATAAATTGCCTTAGCTAAACCTTGAGCTAACTTATTAGCCTACCTTAGTTAACTATATTTGTTTTTGTCTTTTGGCTAATTAGTTGTAAACTCGAGGCATTGGCAGCTTAGTCATTTGCTCATCACCACTCACCTTCAAACAAGTCAAGAAAAGCCGGCATAACATGGAACAGTAAAGTGGGAGGTGCTGCTATACCTGTCTGTCTGAAGTGACTGCCGATGTCCGCACCGCTGTGCGCGAGACGTGGAGGGAGCGAGGGAGGGAGGGAGGGAGGGAGGGGAGGTAGAGAGAGCATCGGAACTACACAGTCTAATCTCCCGACCTGATTTTTTTTTTAAAAGGGCGGAAAAAGGTCACTTTCTCTGGAGGAAGAAAAAGGGCAGGGGCTCAGGCCCACTTTGATGTCTATGTGTGCACGTGCCTGCGCACACGGCACACCCGCGACTGTTACATTAGCCGCGTTCACACCGGAGTACTTTTCCCCGTACTTTTCGCGTTTAGTTCCGTTAGTACCCCTTATGTCGCGTTCACACCAAAAAGAGTACTGAGTGCCGGGAACTTTTACCCCCATTTTTAGTGCCTGCTGAGAGATGGTACTTTCCTGGGGGAAAAAAGTGCCCCAGTTCTGACCAGAATTGCAAACCACGCCCCGTAAAACTCTGAAATGTTTTGTAGAACCGCCATTTTATTATCCTCGCATTAGCATTATTAGCATTAGCATTCGCCCAGCGCACAAACGCAGAGAGACTAACTTATGGCAACACAAAATAAAACATGGGAACGGTGGAGGAGGTTCTGGCGATTTACTCGGAAGGCTTCAGTAGAAGCTGTTGGGAGTCCCAGCAGCTTCTACTGAAGCCAGTCCCCAACTCCGGGGACTTCCGGCCGGGCACTTCGGGTGGCAGTATACACCATGAAGTGGTTTGCGGCCTGCCAGTAAACCCAAAGCAGAAGAAGACGAAGTGACGTCAGTGGCTCATTTGCGTAATCTTCCCTCAGGGAATTTATTCCGGTGTGAACGCGATCTGTACTAAGTGCCCTGGGGTAATAAGTGCCAGCACTAAGTATGGCAAAGTACTTGGTGTGAACGCGGCTAATGAAGGTTCGATAATCAACTCACGGAATATAGGTGTAAGCAGGGGCAAAGTGCTATTTTTATAAGTGGGGAGTGGACCTAACCTCCTCTAGGGGGGTCCGGGGGCATGACTTTTTTTTTTTTATATATATTGAAGTTAAATGCATCAATCTGGTGCACTTTGAGAGCAAGATTAAGAGATGGATACATCTCTCAACACCCATATGAAACATAACTGTAAACAGATTTTCATTTTTCTTTATGGATATTTTACAAATCACTCCACTTTAAAACTGTAGGCTATTCTTGTTTTATGTCATATAGTATTTCTGTTTTTCATTTATTCTCTTATTTATTTTATAATAATCTTTTACATAATAATTGCATTCACTGAACAGAAACAGGAAATTACAATCCTGCCGTCCTATAGTGTCATGAGGGTTAGCCTCGCAGCGGCGACACCGTGCCACGCCACACTAATTGCGCCACATAAACGCATAGGTGCGCCGCATTTGAGGCTCCCTCTACAAGATGAGGCCCCCTCCGCATGGTGAGGCCCCACGCAGTCTGCATGATCTTCCTGTAGGGAGGAACGGCCCTGAGTATACAAACTCATTAAAACTAGCTGCACCTTTACCAGCTTTGATAACACTTTAATGATCAATCATTATAAAACATATCATATATATTATTCTGAAATGGACCAATCTGCAATGAATACTTTTACTTTTGGTACTTTAACTATATTTTGATAATACTTTCTAATTTTACTTGAGTAACATTTTGAATGCAGGACTTTTACTGTAACAGAGTAAAGTATAGAAGTATATACTTCTTCCACCTCTGTCGTATTTCAAACTCTTCCATTAACACCCTGAGTAAGTTTGCAACTGTGTTTTTACTCCACTTTGTTGTAAATAAAACTTCAGCAGCTTGACCACAGAGCGTGAACGTTGTGATCAGCTGATTTTGTGCAGTTCTCCAGTGTGTGCGCGGGGCACAGAATGTGTACAGGGGAGTCTCCCACAGCAGCCAGTTGGCGGAGTTTTGGCACAATTCTGTTGTTCATACTGACGTTAACCCTGTCTGTGCACACGGACCGGTGAACAACTCTGTCAAAGGCACGGACCATAGACTGTATATATAAAGCACGGACACACCAGGCCGATTATCGGCGTCGGTGGGCGTCAGGCCGACGATGAGCGTCGACACGCCCTACTCAGATTGGTGTGTCCCGCACCGTCGGGTTTTTTCAGCCGTGCCGACGCCTTTTCGGCCGAAAGGCAGTCGGCAAAATAAATCACTCTGATTGGCTGTTCAGCTAACGAATCAGTGCATGAGAAGCGAAACGGAAGTGAGGGACCCAAACAAACTATTAAGAAGGCAAATCTGAGATTTCATTTAACTCCAGCTCTCGACACAGGTTCGGGAAAGCCCCATGAGCTTCTCGTTGTCGAGTGAAAATGGAACGCACACGCTATTTGTTGTTTGTTTATATCACGCAGTCTGTTCTTCTTCTCTCGGTTATCACGCAGTCTGTCTTCTGGTTGTTGCCTCTTTTGAATGACGAATACACACTACCGCCGCCTGCTGGTAAGGAGAGTTATTGCCACTCACGCATGCGCAGTTCGTACGTGCTTCTTGGCCGTCGGCTGAAGTCTTTGCGGTGTGTTCCAGTGCGACACATGGCCAAAACGCAGAGACGCGAGGCGACGCAACAGTCGGGGTCCGTCTGTGTCAGTTCTTTGTTGTCAGATTGGTGTGTCCGGGCCTTAAGCTTCTCAGGTCCGTCGGTTATGTCCTGCGTGGCTCGGCCAGCACCCAGTTCAATCAGTAAAAAGTCAGAAGATTTTTTGCAGGGAGCCAAACGGCAACGTAGCTGCTTAATGTCTTTGTTTTTTTTTACATGTCTAGTAGTTTACTCCATTGAGTGTTGACAAGAAACACGTGTAGAGCCCGGAATGCCCAGGCCAGGCGACGCCACTGGGGATAGCATCATTCCTTTTTTGCAGACTCATTGTTGTACCGTGGATTGAAGCTGTGTTCGCAGGGACGTGCAGGGCTGACGTCATTTCAATTATTAAACTACAGGTGAACAATAAACACCAGTGTGATTTTGGTGACAGTACGAACATCTTGGACAAAGTTATAGTGGGGGTTCCAATTCCGGCAGCACCAACGCCTGGTCTGCCACATGTCAAAACCCCTCTTTAGTTTTTCACCTGCTGAGCCCAGAGTAAAATGCTTTTGTGTGCACAAACAAGAGGGGGACAGAAAACACCAGTGTGATCTTGGTGAACGTACGACTATGTTGGACAAAGTTATAGTGGGGGTTCCAAATCCGGCAGCACCAACGCCTGGTCTGCCACATGTCAAAGCCCCTCTTTAGTTTTTCACCTGCTGAGCCCAGAGTAAAATGCTTTAGTGTGCACAAACTAGAAGGGGACAGCAAACACCAGTGTGATTTTGGTGACAGTATGACTATGTTGGACAAAGTTATAGTGGGGGTTCCAAATCCGGCAGCCCCAACGCCTGGTCTGCCACATGTCGAAGCCCCTCTTTAGTTTTTCACCTGCTGAGCCCAGAGTAAAATGCTTTAGTGACCAAAAACTACAGGGGGACAGCAAACACCAGTGTGATTTTGGTGACAGTACGACTATCTTTGACAAAGTTATAGTGGGGGTGCCAAATCCGGCAGTACCAACACCTGGCCTGCCACATGTGGAAGCCCCTCTTTAGTTTTTCACTTGCTGAGCTCAGAGTAAAATGCTTTAGTGTGCACAAACTAGAAGGGGACAGCAAACACCAGTGTGATTTTGGTGACAGTATGACTATGTTGGACAAAGTTATAGTGGGGGTTCCAAATCCGGCAGCACCAACGCCTGGTCTGCCACATGTGGAAGCCCCTCTTTAGTTTTTCACCTGCTGAGCCCAGAGTAAAATGCTTTTGTGTGCACAAACAAGAGGGGGACAGAAAACACCAGTGTGATCTTGGTGACAGTAAGACTATGTTGGACAAAGTTATGCAAATGCCGCCTATGGGTTCATATAAAGTGTTATGTTTATTACTTATTTTTGTATAAACCTGAACATCAAGGCCAATAAAAAATGAGAAGGCAGACCTACCAAAGTCCAAAAATAATGCAGAATATGTTCTGTCTAAAAGATCAAATAGAGACCTATTAAAGTCATAATAAAGTGGTTAAGTGATTAAAACTAAATTAGATTAGCTTAGCAAGGCACTGTTGCCTTTGGATTCAAAGTGTCACAATAAGACAGAGGAATTGTTTTAAAGACATTTTATTAAATAAATATAAACATGATGTAAAATCTTAGAACCACATTAAGAGTTAAAACATGGGCTTGCATGCCTGTGCACCAGATACCTGAGTTAATATTCCCACAATTAATAGCACTATTGCTAAGCTAAACGTCACAGCTCTCAAAAAATCAATTATAAATTATTGTCTGTATCATATGGCTTATCAAACAGTTTATGGCTTTAATATATTGTTACTGACTTTGCATTGTTTTTAACTTAATATCAATATATACATAACATAACCATATTGGATATCATTATGTCTTGCAGTCGCAGGGAAACTCCCGTGTCAAGGCTTGCCTCAGAAAAAGTGTGAACAGACTTGCTCCTTAGCATACATCTTCATGTGCAGAAACACACATGCTCAGAGGGAGAGGGGGCACTCAGTCTTCCTCAGGAAACTTGAATTTAGCATAGACAATGAGCATGACTATGGACATCAAGACGCACAATGAACCAACAACAAGGTAGGCAATGCCGAGGAACTCATTCTTTCCACCCATCCAGGACACGTTGCTGAACACCACCTTCTTTGTCCCGTCGAAGCTCTGAACGGGATAGTCTGGGGACAAAATGTTAAGGATATACAGAAAAAAAGGAAACGCATACAATCGAAAAAGTGACATTGAGACAACATTTTCCTGATAGAATTCAATTTACAAAACCCCTTTGAGATACTATGATTTATAACCAGAGGTTTTTGCACGTTTAACACATTCAGTATCAACCCATTAGACTTGCCGGGTTTTTTTAATTAATTTTTAATTTTTTAGGGACTCCCATTTCACCAATATATCTAAACATTCTTGCACTGTATAATCCATCAGAGCAATGGCTGCCTGAACGAGTAAAGAAACTACCTATAAACTTTCTCTGGTTTACATTAAAATGGTAAGCAAAATTGTACACACAACTATACATAAGTATTTAAATGTTTTAAAAGGATGTTTAACTTGGAAACGCATTGCTATGGTCTGTTTGAGGTATTTAAATAGGCCTTCATAGGCTTCAGGTTGACGGAAATCAATCATGAGACAATTATTTGCTTAGCACATTTACTTAGGTCAAAATATTTGACTGTTTTTTGTTTGTTGTGGGGGTTTTAAATCAAGGAAGTCCTGAGTCATTGTGTTAACTCTGCTCAGGGTAAAGTGAACCACACCCAACAGGTCAAACAAGTTAGACCAAGCTGCTGCTGCTGCTGCTGTTGATGTAACATGACACAAAACATGGCTGAACAATGGCTCACACCTTTACTTGAAGCCTTGTAAATATTTTCACGTTGATGGAACATTGTAAAACTCCTCTAACCACATACAGTAGATGATCTTGGTTAATGCATGAAACCTAATCACGAGGAGTTTAAACCAGGCTAAAACGGTTTTAAACAAGAAATAAGTGTCCTCTTTTACATACCCTTAATAATATCACATTCCTCAGGGAATTCATTTGTTATATTCGCTGAATGAAATTGCATTAGCAAATTCTTGTTCTGTCACTGAAAGGTGACATTTTTAATACTGATGTGTGATGGTTAAAATATTCAAGTTAAAAATGGCTAGTTTAATCCTTGAACCCAGGACTAACAATATTGCTCTTACCTCCAAGTACCAAAATCTGTAGTATTCATAAATAGGATACTGTAGGCAATTGTAAGAGAGTAGTTTCCAGCTGGGAGACCCTTTTCATACTCCCCCCCGGTGATTCGTCGATACAGCTTTCTGAAATCTGGCAGGGCGGCTCTCCTCATCCACACCAGGAAATCTTGATTGATGAAGCCGTTGTTAGCAGGGTCTGAGGCGTCCAACTGGTAAGCGGGCTTGGGCCAAAATATGGGTTTTACAGTATCTGGAAGACAAATGTATAAATCAGCTATCATGTTTTCTTACATTATATTTTCAAATAATATTACGATTTGAACAGAATACACAGTGCGTTACAATAAAGAAAGTTATTACTGTTGAATGCATTCTTCAGAGGTGTCACACTGGGGTTTCGGTACTTGACGTTGTAGTCTGTCCACCAAGCAATCCCTTTTCCATCCAAGGGCACCAGCTTCCTTGCACCATTGACGACCCTATACAGCACGAAAGTGTCTTTAAAAAACAAAAACAATAATTAATACATCCATAATACAGTCAATGAACTTTAGACTTAATGGATTGTCCTCACATACCATTGAACATGCTGTTTGCGATTGCTCCACAGGGTACAATTGGCTTATCGTTGCTGTTATAATCATAGGGTGAACAGCTGTCACTGGGAGCCTTCAAGAGACAAAACATAGTTTTTTATTCCTCAAATATATCTAAAATCTTTCTTGGTAATTCAGACGGGCAACAGCATGGCTACAAACATATTCAATGCTAAAAATATGAACCGTTCCCATATGTTCAACCAAATTGAAATTGAGAACACATTGTTATTGTTTTTTTTTTCAATTATTCAATTTGTTTTAACTCACGGTAAAGGCATCCAAGTCTCCAGACAGCTGATTATCATCTCTGGATGCAGCATACTTTCTGTAATTCTGGAAGTAGTTTGACAAACCATAATAAAAGAACACGGGTCCCTGTGGAGGAAAGGAGAATCACAAAAGGACATCCATGGGTCAGTTCAACTTCATCATTGTGTGTATATGTGTGAATGTTATATTGCAAAACTCCAATACAACCTCAAAGAGACTGTCAATGGAGAAGTCCAGGTTGCACACACAGTTCTTGACATCTGGGTTTGAGCACTTGAAGCATGGTGAATCTGTTTCAATACCAGTGTAGTCGATCTGTGAAGTAAAGAACAAGAAAGGCTTTAATTATTGATGGCTACAACACCTATCCATCCGATGTTACCGACACCACACCTCGTTTAATTCAGTACAATATTACTTACAAACGACAAGTCGGTGAGCAGTTTACAGATTGAATGCATGTCATTTTAATACTTAACAATTCTGAAAAACCTAGATTCAGCTTGTGGTTTGTTCACATCTACCATCTGCATGTGTAACTTTGTCTTATACTTCCTGTCTTCTTGCTGACGATATAAGCATGCTAACTAACTTATTTAGGTCATACCTCCAAAACCGTGATGCTTCTTGAAGTGACAAAGAGAGCAACACCAATGCCAATGAATGCCAGGCCGATGAGGACAAACCCTGGGATGACAATGCCAGCGGAGAGCATGGGCTGCCATGCAGGAAGCCTCTGCTGGGTGAAGGCTGTGTTGTCAGGCCGGTTGGCTATTTCCTTTTCTTCCTTCACCATTTTTGATTCTGTTGGGTAGATTTTCAAAAACAGCTCACCAACTTGTGAATGTTTGTACAAGGCCTTCATGGTATCATACTCTTAGTATAATACAATGGCCATGGCAAACATAAGAAACACTCCCTGTAAAGTCTACATGAATGAGCCACTATTTTACCTGTCCTGACAGAGACTTACAGATTTCACACAGCAATTATAGCGTATTTACTAAAATAGCGCACCCCACTCCGAAAGGCGGTGAAAAAACACAGAAGAATCTTGAATTTTAACTCCCAACCATCTCCTTTCAACAACACAGTGAGTAGCCGCAAGCAACACAGAGACAGACTTTTCGCTCACTTTAAAACTCATTGTGATAGTAAAATTCACACACAAACACATAAAGATTTACTTCAGGATTTAAAGTATTACTTACATTCAGTCGGCTCAAAATGGTATAACAAAGGAGTCAACAAAAAGTCGGAATGCCTTCCCGTATAGTAGGCGCGAGACAAGCTCACCTTTACCTGTCTAGCCCCGCCCCCCTGCCCATCCTGTTCTTCTTCCAGAATGACGTCAGTTTGTGTGCAGAGCTTCTTTTTGTTATTTTACATTAACGGAAGACAAGTGGAGCAAACAAATCCCAATTTGCCACAAAAAACTTAAAAAAAACGTTTGTTTTACTTTCATACCAAAAAAAATTGAATTATGTTTTTGGCATGTTTATACTAAAGTAGATCCAATGCAGCAGTTTTAAGTGTTAAATACCCGCCTACTTATTGATGGACGTTTGTTTTGACCAATCATTTTGTAGGGGGTTATTGAGTAACGTTTTCGGTCGACCAATCACGGAAGAGTTCATTGAAAGGAGTCCTACTACTCTGCCGTCTTTGTGTTGACATTTTCGGAGGACTGAGAGGTAATATTAATAATTTCAATATGTATTGCTTACCTTTACGTTAAAAGCAACAATGGTGCATGGTGAAAGGAAGTCTGCCTACCGATTCGTTCAGTTAATAAACGCAAATCTCATTAAAAGCGAAGCCGGCGCTTTGTTTTTCACTAGGTCGCACCTGCTACTGTGCCAGTAGTGCAGCTAGCCATGTCTCATTGTTAGCGGCGTTAGCTAACATGGCATGGTCTCGCAATATAGATGTGAAAATAAAATCATTAAGATCGACCACATCTATGTTTGCAGTACAGCCCTTGGTGGAATCCCATAAAAATAAATGTAATCTGTTATTGATCTGTCTTGTATACTTGTCCCTGTCTAGAACAAAACTACCGTTAGCCAACGCTAGCTAACGTTAATAGCAAAGCTAGCATTCTGTTGCTAGCTTTGCAGTTTACTTGCTAGCTAACAAAGTCAATTTGACCAGGACTGATATCTAGCAACTACAAACGCTCTCGGCACAAGATGACTGTCCTGTTCAAGTTACTAATAAAACACCCGGGTTCATTACACATTCAGCTTTTTCAAGTTTTTTTCGAGTGGGTAACCTCAATTGGCTGAGTCCTGATAAAGCAGTGAGCTACTCCTTTTATCTGATGGTCTTGTTCAGATGATATTTGCTAACACATTTTCAAACAGGTATCGCTTAATTTCAATGTGATGTGAAAGGCCAACATTTGTTGTAAAGTTGGTCCTGTTCGTAACCATATTTCTGGTTCTGTCTTCATTTCTTTTTAGTGTTTGAATGGATATTACCAGGTGCCCGGAGAAATGGGTAAAACAGGAAAAGGTTATTATAACCATGGAGCCCTCATTTCATAAATCATGACATGCATACACCGTTAGCTGACGTATCTTTAAACATCTAGTGATGCAAATGTGCCATTTTTGGGGGAAGCATCTCCCAAAGCCAGGGAGTATTTGGTGGTGGTTAGCCTTTTGTTGCAGGTGCATTCACTGCCCCGCAAAGCAAGTGACCAGTAGACTTATGGGGTGTAAACAATGTTTAGTGAGTTAATTTATGTGAAAACCACTAGTAATTCAGTGAACTGACCATTTCGTAGGCTTTCACTCACATTTGGGAATGCTTTAAAAGGTTCTTTTTTTTCTTCTTTTTTTTTCCAGCACCCAAAGCCTACACTTCATCATTTTCATCTTTTTATAAATAATAGTTTGATGTCTTTTTTTAAATTTATTTTTGGACCGTATCCCTTCAAAAACATAATTTGTGCTGTTTGTTCCATTATGTTTTTTCCCCTCAAAATGTGGTTCCCTCTTTCTTCAGGAGAGGGCTCCAACATCGTCTATGATGCTGTCTAGCAAGAAGTCAGATGCTGGCTCCTCTTCCTCTTCCACATCGTCTTCTGTGGGAGCTGCGGGAGCAGCGGGAGCGGAAAGGGTAGGCGTTGCTGATGCCCAGACTGGTCCATCTGTCTCTGCGGCAGGCCCTATGGATGTAAAGAAAAAGGAAAGGTCCTCCCCTAGTGGGGAGCCTGGAGGAGCCCCTGTGCCTCACCAAGCAGGCCCCGGGGGGGCAGAGCAAGACGCAGCTGAAGTTCGCAGAACGAGTCGTCGCAAGCGAGCTAAAGTAAATATCTAAGGGTTCTCCTTCCTCCATACTGCCAAAACTGATGATGGTGAACAATTATTATTCATGGTATTGTATGACCATTTGTTTGCTTTAAACATAATTTAAACATTACATGCCATATTGCTATCTACCTAACGTCACAAGTTCCTACTTTCTATATGTACCCCAGTGGAAATGCACAACAGGTAATTTCTCATAATCTCGCTTTTCAAAATCATTCATCCCCTCTGCACTCAAACCTTTTAATTCTTGATAGGTTTTTTTAACTTGATTATTTATTTATTTATTGTGATGCTATGAACTATTTATCGTGTATATTGGAATGATCCACATCCAGGCTCCCGGGGGTATCAGTGTGCTTTATTCCTGTATGTTCCTGCATGTGTACATGACATAAGATTCTCATAACCAATTGCCCCTTGCGGGATTAATAAAGTTGTTGATTGATTGATTGATAATCTAATCGGTGTGATATTAATAGTGTATTTTTCTTATACCCAGAAAGGTTTTGTGGTGATGTGGGAGCTCACCGACCAATCCATGGCAAAGCCGGTTTTAATGTTGCTTTTATTGTGCCTAACGTAGCAGGTGGAATACCGCGAGATGGACGAAAGCCTGGCCAATCTGTCGGAAGACGAATATTACTCGGAGGAAGAGAGGAATGCCAAGGCAGAGAAAGAGAGGAAGCAAGTAATCCCTCCACCACCTCCACCACCAGAGGAGGAGAATGACAGTGAACCAGAGGAGCCATCTGGTGAGTCTTCAATGTGATGCATCATATCAAAGCAGTGGCATAAAACAGAGGAAATAAACTAAATCTAATAGGCTGTGTTTTTCACAGTCTGATAATTGCCTAGTTTTGGACTTAATGTAGCAGCTCACCGCATATTAAATCTCCATATTTTGGTCCTAAATGAATCCTTAATGACACCTAATGATGTTAATAGTATGGTTATATGTATTTTCTTGTTAAGGTGTAGAAGGAGCTGCTTTCCAGAGCCGTCTTCCTCATGACCGTATGACATCCCAGGAGGCAGCCTGCTTCCCTGACATCATCAGCGGACCCCAGCAGACTCAGAAGGTCTTCCTCTTCATCCGCAACCGAACGGTAAACACTGGGATAAACGCAAGACTAAAAAAAGAAGGACTATGTTATTATGGTTTTAAACGTATGTACTACTTTTTCTTAATTAATCTTAACTTCAAACAGCTCCAACTGTGGCTGGACAACCCTAAAATCCAGCTGACCTTTGAGGCCACTGCACAACAGCTTGAAGCTCCGTACAACAGTGAGTCATTTATATTTTAATTTAATTCCTTTATTTCTCTTTCTTTTTGTAAGAATATTGTTGTTACACATAAATTGAGATTTGATGAAATGTTGCTTTCCTTTCAGGTGATGCTGTGCTGGTCCACAGGATACACAGCTACTTAGAACGGCATGGTCTCGTTAACTTTGGCATTTACAAGAGGGTCAAGCCATTACCCAGTAAGTTCACTCTTGTAAACTAAATCCTTCACAGACATTGACCTGGGAATGGTCAGAAGTATAAGAATACCCTCTTAATGTACTCCCTGCTTGTTGTTGCAGCTAAGAAGACCGGGAAGGTTATCGTCATTGGTGGAGGTGTGTCTGGCCTCGCTGCAGCCAGGCAGCTGCAGAGCTTCGGGATGGACGTTACAGTACTGGAGGCCAGGGTAGGTCACCAACAGGGTTTCTATCAATGTTTTATTTCAGGTATTAGGTGGTTTTGTAACATCTTCTTAACAAGCTTTGGTATACATCATTCAATCATTGTAAAACATTTACTGTATTTTCGCAATTGATCGCATTGTAAGATTGGTGCATAACAAATACAAATGGTTTAGCAAGTTGAGTGACCTTTACTATCCTCGCTTTTTCCTTGCAGGACCGTGTTGGAGGCAGAGTGGCAACATTTAGGAAGGGCAATTATGTCGCTGATCTGGGGGCCATGGTGGTGACAGGGCTGGGTAAGATTCTGATATTCTTTTAATGGTAAATACAGAAGTCAATCACAACAGTAACATGCCAAAACGTCCTTAAAATCTAAACAATGACTGTCAAGCTACATTTCTAAGGAAGTCCTTGGTATAGATTGGCAGTCAGAAAAAGTCCCTGATAGTAAGTTAAATACAAATAAATAATACAGGATGTTTACCTTGCATTAAAAGTAAGCTGGTCAGTAATTTTCTTATTTTTTACTTTTCCTATAAATCTTCATTATCTAGTGACATATTATTCATGCAAAATAAGAAGCAGTTGCTTTTAACCAAGTTAAAATATTCCTCGAATGCAATTCAACAGTTACTAACACCTACCTGTAGAGGGTGACATTGTCCATGTTTACGTTGTGTCAATGTCAACTGTGTGCTTGTTCAGGAGGGAACCCCATGGCAGTGATCAGCAAGCAGGTGAACATGGAGCTGGCCAAGATCAAACAGAAGTGTCCACTGTATGAAGCAAATGGCCAGGCTGTGAGTATAATAAAATTTATTTATCAGTTCCATTACACAGCAACATCAAAGCTCTTCTGCAGGCTCTCACACTAAGTAGAATCCAGGGATACCTCCTTAGGGGCTAAATATAAACAGACATTGCAAAAATACTTAATTTTCTGATTCCTGAAAAATGTCTACTTACGACATTGTAGCTATGATCAAACAGCTAACCACTGGCTTTAGCTGAATTATACATGGTTAACCAGGACCTTGTGTTGTCTACTTCCTTTAAGAGAAGATGTTTACTTATGCACAGTTGTTTCCTCTCGGGATATGAATGCTCTGTGTTTGGGTTTATAGCTATACTCCTGTCCTGAGGCAGGGATCTGGCTTTACACGAGCCACAAACACACAAAGAATGACGCGCTCATTTTACCGCTTACCCTTGCGTGTCATCAACCACAGCTTCAGTTCCTGTAAGAGCAGACACCAGATATTGCCTAATGCCATTACATTGAAAATATTCCCCTCACATTTGTGTTCTGTGTGTCAACTGGCAGCCACAGTAGTAGGATGTTTAGGTTCATGTTTGGGGCAAATCCATTGAAGTGGGGACTAGCCGACAGGGCTCTTGAAGCATCAACATCATGTGTAACTGGTTTCCTCCTCCGCAGGAAAAGGCAAATGAAATGTTCATGTTTTACTTTTGTGCAAACCCGATCAAGGTTAAACTGTTGTTTACTGAATATGTGACCCGCTCTATCGAAATCAGTCGGATGTCGCAACGGCTCATTTCAAAATAAACGTGGATTTGCGGAAAAAACTATTTTTTCGGGGTTCGGGTGTTTTGTTTGATTTTAAATAAACAAAGTCTTGGCTTTCAGAATATGAAACTTTTATTTCCAAAATCACACGATAAATACATTTGTGAAGCTTGTAAAGGGAAGATGACAGGCACCTCTCAATCGCAATCTGCTGTTCGGTAGCGCAGTTCCCCCTCCCTCCGGCTGAAATGATGAATGTAAGGCATAAGTAATCATAGATAACACGGCAGGGTCCGTTACAGTTTGTTTTCATCTGATTTCAATTAAACAAAGTCTTGGCTTTCAGAATATTAAACTTGTTTCGGCAAATTTAGATGATAAATACAACTATGAAGCTTGTAACGGCATATTTACAAGCGGAGAACGGAGTAACTTAACGTCACAGCAAGCATAACAACAGCCGGTGTTTCTCGTGAGTGTTTTCCCCGGGAAACGAACACAATATACACAAACGCAAAAATACACAAACACACACACACACATACACTCACACACTCGCGAGCTTCCCCCAGACCAGTAATCCAAACGGAAATATTTTCCCTCCGGACTATTTTGATCATTTGCTCCGCTAATAATCAATCAGATCGATGGATTCCAGAGAAGAGGAAACTTTGAAGGCCTTTTTCTCAAAATGATGACTCGGTGACAGTCATTATATAATGTGACATATTTTGCTTAATATTTGGAGTACAACAAAAATCTTGATATCATTAGAAAGCTAGGAATCTCCTCTTTCCAACAGTGTATACAACTCAAAATGTGTCTTCGGGTCAATGCGACTGATTTCGATAGAGCAGGTCACATATGTTCTCTCTCCCCCCTCCCCTCCTCAACCTCTTCCATGGTAATCCTTTGGTGAACTATTCAAGGGTGAACGATGCACAAGTGTAAGTATTGGTCTATTAACATAACACATTTATCACATATTCAAAATGACACGTTGAATTATAGTGATGTATAAATGCCATATCAATATAATTTGTGCCTTTTCTTTTTTTAAAGCTTTATTTGAATCTGACATGGTTTTCCTTCGGTTTCTTTGTTTATTCATTACTGCTGTCATTAGCGTGACTGATGGATTGTTGTGTGATTATGTGTGTGTCCAGGTGCCAAAAGAGAAGGATGAGATGGTGGAGCAGGAGTTCAACAGGTTGCTGGAGGCCACCTCCTTCCTCAGCCACCAGCTGGACTTTAACTTCCTCAACAACAAGCCTGTTTCTTTGGGACAAGCCCTGGAGGTGGTCATCCAGTGAGTATGGTGTTCACTACATGAGCTCACACAGGAGATAGTGATGGGTTTATCCTGTACATGTGTACCCAAGGAGGACGTTTATACCAATACACAAAAACACTCCAAATGCTAATCTCGTGTGTGTTTGCAGGCTGCAGGAGAAGCATGTCAAAGATGAGCAGATAGAACACTGGAAGAAGATCGTAAAGACTCAGGAAGATCTTCGGGATCAGCTAAACAAGGTGAGCACACGTCCTTGTGTGGGGCTGCAGGAGTCCTAAACACATTTCGTAGTAAAGAGGGGTGAAAAAAAGACTATATTCTAATTTTGGGTAAACGGCTATGAGTAGTTTCCATCTTTTTCAACTTGAAAATAAACGTTTTCTTTAATCCAACTTAAAGGGAAATCTTCTAAAGTGGTGAATATGACTTTTTATTTTCCATTGTTTTGTCATTAAGGGATTAAAGGAACTCAATTTCACTGTCCAAATGTAATTGCTGTTTACTTTTGGCAAACATCTGTTGGCTGTTATGTCAGTTATGTTTGCGGGATTGATTTGCTAATAAAGCTTAAAGACAGTATGCACTTTGTGTAAATTGCTGCTGACAGTCCTAAAATGCCATTATGAGGAAAAGCAGGCTCATTACTGAAAGACAGTTTAAATGTGAGGCTCATCTTTATCTGCGTCGTCTTCTCATGACTTTCTTCCCCTCCGTCTCTTTTCTTTGCTCTCCTTTTTAGATGGTGATCACTAAGGACCGGGTGAAGGAGCTCCATCAGCAGCATAAAGAGGCCAGCGACGTCAAACCCCCCAGAGATATCACAGCTGAGTTCCTGGTGAAGAGCAAGAACCGTGACCTCACCGCGAACTGCAAAGTAAGCTCAAATACTGTTGCAGAAAGAGAAATGTAAACATTAAAGATTCTAAAAATAAATAAAAAAAGGTACAATGAAGATCAAAGACCACCTTACATCTTAACACATATTTAAAAGCTGTAGGAGGTTATACAGACTTGTTGTCCAGAACACATTTCTATGTGATGTTTTCATCACTTTCAGATTGATATTAGGCTGAAAAACATAAAGGAAATGTAGTTTACATCTTATTGAACTGTATTTCTGGTTTTCATAGCTGTCCTTTGGCATAGTTTAAACTACTTTGAAGCAATATTTGATTCGATGAGGAATAATTGTTATGTGTACCTGTAGGCCCAGTGGTCAACCACCACAATATCCAACACAGAAGCATTGAATTTGTTCCGAAGATCAACTCTTTTGAAGCAGTATTATAATGTGATGGATGTTTTATGGGCTTCTAGGTCAGGGTGGATGCCTTGCTGAATTGTAATGCCTTGCTCTCTAAGTAAACCAGACAGGCTGTGTTTAAGTGGTTTAATGTCTCGGTAGGATGTATTATTAGAGTCAGCGCTGCTGTTTTATTTTTGCTTCAGATAAATCACCTCCACCAATGATACATGTGTGTTTTAGAGGGAGGTTTTAGTTGGTTTAAACACAGCTGGTGTCTGAGCTGAATTAGTCTGCGACCCATCCGCTGTGTGAGAAACCACTTCAAGTCTTTGAATCACATGTCTGCGGATGTACACACAGACACACACTTTCAACAAGACAGAATGAGCCCTTTAAGGGTGTGTGTGCGTGCTTAAGACATGCATGGCTACACCATATAACAAGATTTAAGGGTGGGTCAGAATGCTTTTGCTGTGCATACTTTCCAGTAGTCTTGCCCTTTGTAATATTTTCCCATGTCAGCTCGCTGGCTTGTAGACGTCATAAGGACGTAAAATGTTTTAGACTGGACTCAGTGGAGATGGGGCCTGGCGTTGTAGGTGGTATTACCAGAATTGACTGTAGTTTGTAATGTGGCGAAGTGATGAACAGGTTGAGTCAGCCCTCAGTCAAAACAGCTTCTCCTTTCTACATGACCTCAACCCTCTGGGTGTGTACCTACTGCACATACACGCAAGGCACGCAGCACACGTTCACATAGTTAAAGTTCTCACCAGCTCCTGACGTCTGACTACAATTCAGTGTCAGGCGAAATTACGTTTTTTAAAGGATTGAAATCATTTCAAGTGTATAATAATACAAAAGTATTAGCATAGTAGTAATATTGTAACATTCAAATCAGTTTGAGTTGAAAATGTACAAGAAGTTGACGCAATATACCAGACAATTAACAGGTTTTTTTCTCTCAATTTCTTTTTTTAATGATTTTTTATGCCCTTAGCTTTCATTGGAATTTAATGTGGAAAATCATATTTCAAGCATCAATGCTACATAGATGTTTTTTTTATATCCGGCTGTGTGTTTTGTCCCTGTGTAGGAGTACGATGAGTTGGTGGAGACGCAGGTGAAGCTGGAGGAGAAGCTGCAGGAGCTCGAGGCCAATCCACCCAGGTAACAAATCCTCCTGAAGTTTCAGCATAATCTCCCGAGCTGCTACTCCTTCTCTTTTTATTTGGTATCATATACGTACACTATGACAATGCCAGAATGTATTTGTTTACTCCTCTTTTCCCTGCATGCAAACACTATTTTGATTAATGGTTAAATCACACTCTTATTTGGTCACAATTTATTAGATAGAAGACTTTATAGAAGTTATAAAAATGTACTTATTTGTTATTTATATTTTAAATAATGACATCCTACACTCACAACTATGCTATGCTAAGTGGCTATGTGAAAAGAGCATTGCCTTTTGCCCTGAAGTGAAAATAGTCTTAATGGTTATGGAAGAGAATTGTTTCTTGGAGCCCTGCAGCCCTTGGCAACAGATGTTTACCTGTGTATCTCCTTTGGTCATTTGCATATTATTTTTGTTTCAAGGTAATGCTATGTGTCCCAGTATGTGTTATTACGTTTGCACCACTTAGAGTTAAGCTCTTTCACCGTGTGCATGAGTGAACCTGTCCCTCTGAAGTGTGATTAGCTGTCAGAATACCTCACCGTGTTTCTTTGCTTTCTTTTTTTTCCCACAGTGATGTTTACCTGTCATCCAGGGATCGGCAGATCCTAGACTGGCACTTTGCCAACTTAGAGTTTGCCAACGCTACACCCCTCTCCACCCTTTCTCTCAAGCATTGGGATCAGGTATATACATGTCCCCATTTGAAACCTAATAACTGTCCTGAAAACGGTCTTGTATTTCAAAGGCCTCTTAAGTTATTGTGCTACCGGTGACAGGTACTTTTTTTCTCCACAGGATGATGACTTTGAGTTCACTGGCAGCCACCTGACTGTAAGGAATGGCTACTCTTGTGTTCCTGTGGCCCTGGCTGAGGGCTTGGACATCAAACTAAACACAGCAGTGCGGCAGGTCCGGTATACGGCCTCTGGTACGTGTTCATCTGCCAAAATGTGGCCACAAGTTTCACTATGGATTTCATATTTGATGTATACAGTATATGGATGTGAAATGTGTGTAAAACTGTTTTTCAAATGTTCTTTCTCCAGGCTGTGAGGTGATAGCAGTCAACACACGCTCCACGACCCAGACCTTCATATACAAGTGTGACGCTGTGCTGTGCACCCTGCCTCTCGGGGTGCTGAAGCAGCAGCCCCCTGCTGTGCAGTTTGTTCCCCCTCTGCCCGAGTGGAAGACAGCTGCTATTCAGAGGATGGGCTTCGGCAACCTCAACAAGGTATGGAGCTTAGAATTTGTCAGACTGAGATCGTTTCCTTAATTAGCTTATTTTAAGCAAATTACAGCATCTCATTCTGATTTGTCGAAATTCGAAATGAGTTAAGATGTCCCTGAACAATCAATAAGTTAGTGCTAGAGATTGTAACCCCCACACCTACTACAGGAAAATGTGAGCCAAATGTGATGTACCACATTTTGTGCAGACCAGTGCAAACTCTCAAGTCTTGTGAGTCACGCTGTTTCAGTCAGGTTTTAAATCATGTAGTGTGCTTCTGGCAGGAGTGAGCATTCTGTTCCTTAGAGTCCTCCTACTCCTCTTTCTGTTGCAGTGTCCTTATGCTAGGAACTTGACCTTGAGTGGTAGAGGAGGGAAAAAACAACAAGTATTTGGAATTTAGTAGTTTTCTGTGCCTAAGTGATGTTATCTGTGCTCAGACGTAGGATTGAGGGTGGGATGTAAGGGAGGAATTATCAATGTGTAAATTATGGGGGAGGCAATTGAAGCTGGATGGCGTGCAAATGAAAGGTGCTTTTTCCCACTTTGTGCGTAACCGGATCAGAGTGCTCATTGTGCGTCACTACTGACCCACCAGCTCTCTCTATCTCTGTTACTGAGCATCATCTGCAGCAGAGTGGTTCATCTCCTAATTCTACTGCAGCACAGAGGAGAATACTGCATTATTATGCAATCTGAGATGCTAGTATGCCATCTTTCCAGCAGAGGGCGCTCTCCCATTCACACAGTATAACCATAAAGCCATGGCAGTAAATGGAACTGACATTTACTCCACAGGACATGAAGCTTCTGATTAAAATCAGCACTGTGATTGTTTTGCGACTCTTTGTTTGTGCTCCCTCCTGTCTGAAGGTGGTGTTGTGTTTTGACCGCGTGTTCTGGGATCCCAGTGTCAACCTCTTCGGTCATGTCGGCTCCACCACAGCAAGTCGGGGCGAACTCTTCCTCTTCTGGAACCTCTACAAAGGTGAGAAATCCCTTTTTTAGTTTTTACAATGTAGGGTGTTGTGGTTTTAAGATGTATTTCCTGTATATCCGGTAACCAATTGTGCCGTCTGTTTTCTCAGCCCCGATATTACTGGCTCTGATGGCGGGTGAGGCCGCTGGCATCATGGAGAACATCAGCGATGACGTGATCGTTGGACGCTGCCTGGCCATCCTCAAAGGAATATTTGGAAGCAGCGCTGTGCCACAGGTACACATTTGTGCCTCATCTATGAACAGCCTCACACTGCCTAGTATTATCAGTGCATCGCCATTACTATTGACATTTGATTGTCTGTCTTTTCTTCAGCTTTTACAAGTCCACATACCAATTGTCTATTACCCAAAAGCACACTATTCGAAATAGCTGGAAGTTTTGTTCAAATACAATTCATTATGTTTGTCGTTTACAGAAAAGGAACGGAGAGTTTTATTTGTTATGATCCATAATTTTCTGGTTGCATCTTTGGAATGTCAAACCCGTTCCTGAATGGATCCCCATAACCAGCACCACTTTACACAGCAGGCGCATATGGAGTTATATCCAAACCATGTGTCATTATAAATCATTTGCTTGTGGTTTCAAATCTGATCAAATCATATGCTTGGAGGCCAGTGTTGCAGCTGTTTACATGTCCCTCTAATATCATGATGGAAACTCCTAAAAAGTACCTTTTTGTTGTTTTCTCCTCATTGCAGCCAAAGGAAACCGTGGTCACTCGTTGGCGTGCCGACCCCTGGGCCCGCGGCTCCTACTCGTACGTTGCTGCAGGTTCTTCGGGCAACGACTATGACCTCATGGCACAGCCCATCACGCCTGGCCCTGCGATACCAGGAGCCTCACAGGTGAGCACTCAAACTCCACAGAATCCATAGTCACCAAAAATGACAACTCCAAGGAACCATCCTTAAAACAATTAACATGCCTTTCATTTTAATGTTTGATGACGTTTCGGCATTAAGCCTTTTGTCAGAAGTAAAAAGAAAAAATGTTGGCGTTTGTTTTTAGGTCTTACACGACTATGCTATTACAATAAAGGCATTTTAATGGTTTCAAAGAAATTGCCTTTGAGTTTTCTTGTGATTTTGGTGTTTACATTTTACACAATCCTGAGTCTTGAGTTTGTGTTTGGGTAAGAATGTCAGTTTATTGTGTGTGAAAGCGAAGGAGAACAGGCATCCCAGCCTGCCCACAATACTCAACCAAACCAAAGCAGAGCCGTTTCTTCTCCACACAAATGTTTTTCCCGCTGTTTTGATGTTGGCATGCTGATTGAGTCATATTTATGTGTTGGATGATGAGTTCTGGCAGTTGACTACCACACTTTTTCCTCTGTCAACTTCGCCCTTATTTTCTTTTAATCCCTTATTATGTTAGGAACAATCCAACTTAGATCTTAATGTGTTTTTCTTTCTTTTTCCTCTCAGCCTGTTCCTCGTCTCTTCTTCTCCGGAGAGCACACGATCAGGAACTACCCCGCTACAGTTCACGGCGCCCTGCTCAGCGGGCTCCGGGAGGCCGGGCGCATCGCAGATCAGTTCCTGGGTGCCATGTACACACTTCCCCGACAGGCCACTCCCACAACGGCCAGCAACCCTCAGCAGGCTCCGCCCACTCCCAGTGTCTAAAATGTCCTCTCATAGTAACTGCCAACTCTGGACTTAGAGACCAACTTCAACAGTTAATGAGAAAAAACAAATCCATAAACTGTCGACATTTCTGAACGTGATCCTGGAAGACCCTGACAACACTTAGCATTATTGCATTTGCTCTAGTAATAAAGCACAGAAATAGTTTTCTGGCTATGATGTGAAATTGAGATTCCTTGTATGGAGTATTTCAGTTCTAAACACTTATTTTGGGGTGTTAGTGACTGCTGACATTTCCAGCTAAATATGGAGACAGATGTAACCTTCTACAAAGACTGGGCTATGCTAACGGATGACTAATAAATTCCCATTTTGTTACATAGTGATGTAATAACTAATCTATCCTAAATGTTATGTTCCAGTCTTAAAAACCGAAGCATGGCTTTATGTTTGGAGTGATTCAGTGTATTTTATTCCATGTGGAGCATGTCTGCAAAACCCAATATCTATTTATGTGCCCTTGTCTAAATCCTAAATGTACACACAACATTGAGCCAGATATCATATTGTAAAACAGATAACCAACCGAGTAGCACAGTCTCAACCTCAATGCCTTGTCTTGGTTGTCTTAAAACATTGCTATGTACTGTAGTTGTACGCCTCCTAAATTTACTTTCTACCACTTAGGTTGCAGAGTGTAGTGAATAGTTTGTATTAAAAGCTAAAAAATAAAGATATGTTGAGAGAATTGTGAATGTTTTTGTTGCCATAGCGGTTTAAGTATTTTATTATGGCTGTTATCACATACTTTTTTATATTGTCAGTTGTTTTGTTATTAAAAGAAGACAGAAATTGTTTCTTGGTATCTGCGTGTTCTTTTTTAAAAGTTATGTGGTTTGTATGCAGATGTTTTATGTTGCAAAATGCTTCCTCTCCTATCCCCTGCAGATGTGTAGTTTCTGTACTTGCACATGCATGTTCAAAATGAACATGGCTGCTTTGACCCGCCGATGACCCTCCTTCGCTGCAGACCTGGCCCCGTCCCAGGGTCTGTGGCACTGTGTGCGTGAGGGACAGATGAGGGTCCCTGGCAGCAGCTCCACATAGTGGGAGATCTGCTGAAGGAGGGGGGGAGATTAAAATGGTTCTGTGGAGTTGTATTTCAGGGCTCTGTGCCCCTCTGTTTCCATGCACTCTCCAGCGTCACAGGCCTTGTTTTCCCCCAGAGATGTGGTTATTATTATCGTGACCAAAGGAGATGTTTGATGTAACAACAGTAATTGGAGCTGGGGTTGTGGACTGCGGCACTCGGGTATTTTTCACCTAAACCATAGGCTCAGAGCAGTGTGTTACTGTTGACTAGTGAGGTTATTTTTCATAATAGCCTCAAGCCCACACCAACTGATTACTTTATAGAAAGGCAGAGATGTACCAAGTATGATAGGGAGTTATTAAAGTCCTTTTGATGAGAGCACAGCGTGTCTGAGCACATCTCGTGTGAATCATAGGTGTGGAGTGGAATGTACACTAGTACAAACACCTCCCACGTGCTGTTTCACAAGCACATTGGACATCATCCATGACATAAAGACAGATGATATGGAGACTACAATGGTTTCATCTTTCAGTATTTTAGCTTTGTTTATCCCTAAGGGTATGTGATTCCTTTGTAGTTATGTTGCTTTAAAATGATATAGCATTTTTAGCCAAATGTTATAGTGTTAGGGTTTGTGTTAGGCTTGAGCTCGCGTAACTTTAATAGTCTTTGGCAGTCTTAAAAGTACTTTTTGACTCTTCACAGAAGGAAATGACAAATGTGTTACTAATAACATTTAAGATGGCTGAGTGAGAGTGACAGTGAAAAAACACGCACAACACAGAAGCTGAAATCAAAACAGATAAATGGAATTCATAAATCATCATTGATTATTTACATATGTGCTTTTCCTTAAGGACAATAAGGCAGCTTTCTCACTCTTTCCTATGGCACCTGTTGTTGGGTTGGGTTGGTTGTAGGCCTAGTCAGTGATTCCTCTTTCTTGCTTACATTTCTCCATCTTCCTCCTCCTCTTCCTCCTCCACCCGCCTGGAGTGCCACTGAGTCATTTCCATGGTTGACTTCACAGCACTAATTCAGGTCAGGCATTGGTGCTGAGGCTCAGGAGTACCAGGGTCTAAACAGGCACCGCTGTGTTAGGGTAGCTCCCTGCATCTGAACTTGGGACAGATTAAACCGCACAAGCAGGAGACAGCGTTAACCCCCGAGTTTCAACCATTTTTTATTCATGACCCCTGAATGAATGAATGAATGAATTTATTTATCTTGTGGCTCTTACCGTTTACTCTGAACGAGGCCTTGAGACTCTAATCATCTGGGATGTAAAATAGGCCTTATTTGGAAGCACAGCTAACTTCAGTAGGTAAAGCACAGCTGTTACTAATAATGTTAACAAGGGATTTTCTCCTATTTAAGCATGCATAATGTTTAATAAAATTCAGCTGTGGTTAATTTAAAAAAACTTTTTTTTACTGTCCCATCTCAAATTATCAGGAATTCAACATTTTCTTTTAATATTTAGCTCTTAAATAGTTTGTTTATATACATATATATAGTTAAATAGAAGGATAATATACAATTTGATATCATTGGGACTATTAGCGTGACATTTTAACTATCAAATCCCAGATGAGGAAGTGTTGCCCACTTTAAGCCTCAATGGACCAGAATGCAATGCAGCTGCGCACTGGGAGTGTACCGATCTTTGCTCCGTAACTCTCCACCCCTACACATTAAGGCCATGCAACTGAATTCAGCAAGTTTAGGCTTGTTCTTAAAACTGTTCTGGAAAAGTTTGGAAATTACCAGCTTGAGGTAAAGTGTAAAAAGTTTCACCAGTAAAAACGTTCTCCTGGGATTCACCAAGCCTTTCGGATGGAAAATAAAATCACTAAATGATCAGAGGTTGGTTATTTTACATCAGATTCACCACACTAGATCTTGTAGATTAGAGGATTATTTTAATATAACTACATCTGCAGGAACAGAAATGCTGCCTTTCATAAAGTGAGGCGTAGCAGTTTAAGAGAAAGTTGTGGGCTGACTTTGCATTCCACAACAGCTTGTGGTTTTCCTCCTAGTACCTGACCAAATGTGGCTCATTTGTCTGCCTGCTTATTTTGCATACCGTCAGCTGCTATTCTTTCTGCTTTGTTCAAACCTAACCAGGGGATTGGAGACAGACACCGCTATGAAATCAAAACTTGCTGAGCTTGTTCAGCAAAAAGCATGAAAGAGATTAACATACATGGTTGGGTTTTACACACAATCAGCATCCCACTCACATACTGACACAGGTTCCAACATGGAGACGTGTTACAAACAGGTTGGTTTTTATTTTTATTGGAATACATATGGTCTGCTGTACAGTTGGCAGCTTCAAGAGACCTACATGCAGAGTGCGCCAGCCACAGTAAGGTTAAAACATGCACAATGTATTAAGTCTAAAACGGAAAAAAAAAGCCTTCCCACACAGTCCACCTGGCATTGCTGACACACTGAGAAGCAATAATAAATCATAAAACCCTTTTGATCTGATTTCATTACATAGAGTTTTGTGTTTGACACCTGTCTGTCAGTCTCCTTCTCCTGCACACAAAATGAACTTATAAACACTTGGAAATAAAATAAAAACAGCTGATTGTACAGGCCTGATATTCTTGATTCTGTGCATGTATGTGTGTAAAGGAGATAAGATCCAGTTACAGGTTTGAAAAAGAATATTTCCTATTAGGTTATTTGTGTGTGTTTATATATACATGAGTGTCTGGGGCCTGCACGCTTCTTTCTTTGGCAGCACTTTCAAACATACAGCACAGAAGATGAACGAACCCTGAATTTAGGAGCGAGGGAGGACAGAGCAGCGAAGAGGAGCGCTGAATGGTCCAAGATAAAAACAGGACAACACATGTTGAACCGCTCTGCACTGCAAACCTGCTAGGCCCTGATAAAATGCACATAGCTCTCATTCTTCAATGACTACGACACAACCCTGGCTTCACTCTCTGATCTGTGCTGTGCCATCATGTCTCCAGGTCGTGAGAAATGTCTTGCATTACAATAACAAACACAAAATACAGGAAGAAGTACTCTCCAGGAGTGTAACAACAACGAGGACGATACATTATCTTGCAAAAAATATCATTCTTATAATCAAGATGGACAAATACTTAATATATTTCAATAATAAGGCCCACTTTACAAAATTACAAGACTTTCCTTAAATAAAATCTATCCGATATAGCTTCCAAAATAAGACATCTTTTGTTTAACAAAGAAATACAATTAAAGAGAAAACAAAAAAAAGAAAACCCTTAAATTGAAAATTCCCCATTCATTTCAGTATCTTGGAGACGGGGTGTCCACCTGGGGAAGCATGGGCCCCGTCTCTTACTGTAAACCGTAAATACTGTGGAATGATTTTGGCACAAAGTTAAAAGGCTGAGATGTAGGCATAACAGGGTGCCATCCCTCAAAAAATATTAATTCACTGAGTGCACACCATTACCTTACTTTTACCTACAAGATGATTCTTAAATACTCTAATTTGGCTGGTGCAAAACACAACATATCTGAAGGTGGAACATTCAGCAAATATCTACTGCAAAATTGTTAATGTACAATTCTGGGACACAAAAGAGGAAACTTTTTGACTAAGGGGTATTAATCGTTTGAGGTCTTAAAGTTAAGTGCTGGTTAAGTGCAGATTACAGCCTACGCCATCCAATGACACCATGACCCTGGCTTCACAATGGAGGCCTTTGAGGACAAGGGCTCGATCGCTGCCCGAAAGCCATTTCTTCCTCGCCATTTCTTCCTCGCCATTCCAATCTCCACTAAGTACATTCTAGTCTACTTTATAAAAGGGGAAAAACAATGAATTGTAAATAACGGATGTTTATACATAACCCACCAGAGCTTAAGAGGATTTATGTTAACTCTTTAGTTGGCATTTGAGCAGGAAGGCGGAAGCAGCCACTTTGCTCTCCACTGTTAAACCCCCTTTTGTCCTGGTACGGATTTTCCATCATATCGTTCACAGCCATGTCCTAAATATTCTGCTCCTGCAGCAGCTATTACACTGATTCTCTAATTCAATCAATGTTCTGCAAAACTGCCATGATTCAGGGAGGAGAGGAACCGACCAAACCTCTGAAAGAGCCCCCAGCTGTTTTTTTACAAGCCATTGAAATCTTGAAACCTGTAAAGTCTTCACTCTAGTCCCAGATGACCAGTCAATGCATTCCACTATGTCAACACTTTACTGTCTCTCGCAACGAATAAGACCCATCACATGCGAGTAGTGGCATGTAGCCCACACATCGGACGGTAGAGGCTCACAGTGTTCCTTATCCTGGTTCACATAGTCCTGCTAGGTTTCAGTGGACGGAGTGAATGTACAGTTGGGTGTTAGTGTACTTTGGGGCCTTGTAAGGAAGGAAGGCATCATGCATACTGAAGGATGGAGTTTCAACTTTGCCCTTAAAAAAGCCCCACTTTCTTTGAAGCCGGTGTATGGGGGGGGAAACCCTCCAACGCGTCATAAAACGTACAGTTTCCGACAGCTGAGCTCTTCCTGGGACCCCAGGCTCGAATGTTCTCCTCGGGGGGGGGAGGGGTGAGACAGGTTTAAGAGCAGAAGCTAAGAAAGGTTGAAGGATGAAGGAGAGTGAAAGAGAGAAAGGATAAAGGTTACGCAGTAAGCAGTGAGGACGGTTGAAACTGGAGCATTGTCTGCCTGTAACGCTTTTATTTATTGGCCGGAGGGAAATAGCTGACACATGGAGGAAGTAAGGCAGG